ACTGATGGTTGTGACTTTGCTTTTCCACACATACTAAAATAATTAATTGGATTTTATTCTCAATCATTTGATATGATATGTTAATTTGTTGATTTGCTCAACAATTCATGCATCCCTCATGTGAACCCAACTCCAGCATAACAAATGAGACTTTCAATGAGTTGTGGAATTGAATTCAAATGTGTTATCTTGGAAAATTGTTTACTTATGTTCCTCAGGAATATTGGCATATACTTTAACTGTTTTGTCCTTGCTTTGGGTGGTAAGACATTTATGAGTAAGGCTACAGCATAAAATGATTTTGGATATACACTTTCTCTTTCAATGGTTTTGAAAATTTTGAATTTTTTTTTTGTCTTTTTGAGACAGAGTCTCGTTATGCAGTTCAGAGTGGTCTTTAACTCACTTGAAGCCAAGGCTGTCCTTGAACTTGCAACCATCCTCCTGCCTTAGCCTCCGGAGTGCTGGATTATAAGTGTGCATCACCACACCCAGCGGTTTTGAAAATTTTGAGAAGAATTTATATTAATCTTTCTTTTAAAGCTTGGTAGAATTAACCAGTGAAATAAGCAGACCTTTTGCTTTTCATTGTAGGAAGACAGTTTTAATCAATTTACTTTCCTTAGTCATTATTTATCTGTTAATATTTTCAGCTTGTATAAGTTGCATATGTCTAAGAATTTATCCATTTTTCTAGTTATCTACATTTTGGTATACACTTGTTCATAATAGTTTCTTATGACCTTTAGTATAACTCTCACTTGTATGTCTCCTTTTCCATCTCTACATTTATTTATTTGTGTACATCCTTATTTTCATAGTTACATTAGCTAAGGTCATTTCCATATTCCTTTTCAAAGCCTTTCTCTCCTTCTCTCATCCTGTTGATCGTTTCTTTTGTGGTGCAGAAAGTCCTAATTTGACTCAGTGTCCTTTGTCAATACTGATAATAATACTTCCTGTACTATTGGGATGTTATTCATGAAGTCATTGCTCTGCCCTTGACTTCAAGTGCTTCCCACAGGTTTTATTCTACTAGTTTCAAATTTATCAATCTTTGCCTATGTCATCAATCCATTGTGATTTGATTTTGTACATGGTGAACAGTTGGGATTATTTTCAGTTGGCTCCATGATATCTGCTTTTCCCAGAACTTGTTTCAAAAAGGCTCTTTTTCTCTGTGGTAGGTTTATCACCCATTTGTCAAAAATTAGATGGATGTAGCAGTACATGTTTATATTTGTAATTTTTTTCTATTCCATTTTTCTATTTTGTTCCATTTTATGTGTCTATTTTCTTCCAGTACTAGGCGGCAATTTTACATTTGGTATTGTGATGGTTCCAGTGTTGTTCTTTTGTTCAAGACAATTTTGCCTGTGTCTTTTCTGATTCATGTGCATTTTAGGATTACTTTTCTAGTTCTATGGACAAAGTTGTTGGTATTTTAATAGTGATATCATTGAATCTGTAGATCACCTTTGGTTAAATAACAAATTTAACAATATTACTTCTATTGATTTATGGGCAAAGGGTAGCTTTCCATTTGTCTTCAATGTTCTGTATTTTTCATTGTGGAGATGTTTTATCTGCCTGGTTAGGTTGATTATAAAAAAGTTTCTTTAAGCTATTGGGAATGGAACTGTTGACTTTTGTGAAGATATTCTTACATATGAATCACTGTCCAAATTTTTATTCTCATGGAGAGAAAATTGCTGGAAATTCCTATTCTACCTTTATGCACTGCCATCCTTTGAAAAGTACTTTTCTTGATATAAATTTCATGAAAAAATACATACCTCTTATTCAGTAACATAGAGTTAAAATATCACCATCATCTTAGATTCTTCTTGGTCTCAGAGAGTCACATTTAATTAAATTTCCAAGTCAATGTCTTATATCAATTTCTCACAGTATTATGATTTTTACATATTTACCACCTTATACTAGTTGTAGAACTCACTTGGAGAAAACTTAGTGTCCATTGTTATCCAACTCCAAACTTGTTGTACTCTGCTAAATGTATTTCTTAAAATGCAGGCCTCCTCTACTTTCAGTTCTAAATCTTATCAGGTCATATTACCTGTAGAAATGCATATTGCTTACAATATCCCTGCTCTGACCCCTTGTGGTGGCACAGCAGATCCCCCTTTCAGTTTTATGTACTGCCCCTAGTAACTTACAGCCCAAGATTCCACAAATCATCATAAATTTAGGGGAATAATCATGCATTTCTGTCATTTCTTTGGATATTATTAAAAGATGAGAAAAAATAATGATTTTAATAATTAAAAAGCTTTAAACAGCTTAACCATTCCACAATAAACAGGTACTTCACAATATTCTAGTGTACACAAAGAAGCATGATGTCATGTGTCAATTTTTAAAAGAAAATGATAATGATACTCTAAGGAAAGATATTTCTCTAGTGAAAGAATAGGTATAAATGAAAAAGAAACAAATTCCACCAAATGCTAATCATGCATAAACTTTGAAGACCTTATAACAAATGAAATAAGCAATGATAATATGAAAAAATACTGCTAGGATGGTGGCACATACCTGTACATTCTGGAAGGCTAAGGAATGATTGGAAGCTGGAATCCAGCCTGAGTACTTTAGAGACTTAGTGAGATCTTGTAGAAAGAAAGAAAGAAAGAAAGAAAGAAAGAAAGAAAGAAAGAAAGAAAGAAAGAAAGAAAGAAAGATGGAAGAAAGAGCATGCCAAGTATATAGCTTAGTGCAATTCCCTGTGCTATGAAAGGGGAAAGGTACCCTCTGAACTCAGCTCTAAAGCTATCTAGGGTAGCCAGAATCATAGAAAAAGCTATTCAAATAGCTATTGATAGTTTCCTTGAGAAAATGATAAAAAAAAACCTTTAAATCACTTTCCTTGCAAAGGCATTCTTCAGATTGCTCATGCTTTACTTCAAAGGTAGAGCAAAATCTACATTCCGCTGTTATGTGTTCTTTTTTTTCTGAAAGAGTTTTCTCAAAGCTAACAAAAAATATGCTTCGTGGTAGAATATGCTGGACTTGTATACTCCTGAAATGAAAAGTAATCAGTGCAAATAAAAAATTACTGTGAATTTTCCCTACCTCTCCCACCAGCAATCTTCATCCAAAGATTTTTCTACATAATTTTTGGAAGACCTGATTTCTCAATAGGTCCAGATGACAATTTTGTGAAATAAGCAATCTCTATGGGTTGGAAAACAGTGGAAACATTACAGAGTGATGAACAGAACAGAGTATAATCTAAAAAAGGAGATAGAAAACTTGTAATGTGTAACCAATGCGTATATCTATGCTCTTGACATAAATCTCGATTAATTTTGTCCCTGAAACTAAACACATCTTATTTTTTATTATGTAAGAGTAGAGTGGACAAAGGACACCCTAATAAAATCAAAAGATGTTATTTAACATGATAAAATGTTTTTCCTTAAGTGTATATATGTGTGTCCGAAATGTAAAAATATTTTCCAAAACTTAGCCAAGAATTATCCAGAAATCAGCCAATTTTTAAAAGTCCTTAGAATTTTTCCAAAACATAATGTCATAATTCACTGCTTTTAAAAAGTAGACCAACAATTTTTGAACAATGGATCTGGATTAAAGTTGATTCTTGTTTAGAATACTGAAAGCTTTTACAGAATTACTTGCTTCATTCTTGATCATGACAGAAGATATGCTAGAATAGTTCAAACTACTGACTGTATTTCTTACAGTACTCTTTCTCACCACACACGTCTTGCTGAGTTCTGAACAGGCAATTTAAAACTAAATAATGAGAATTCTTTAATTTCCTCTCATAAATTGTAACTAACATTATGGAAATGTTTTTCGTTTGAGTGTCTTGGTCCTTTTGGACTTCAGGGACAAAGACCCTGACACAGGGTAATTTATGAACAGTAACTATTTATTTCTCACAGTTTCAGATGCAGGATCTCCAAGATAGGTACCAAGTTCCATGTTGTTTGGAAAGTGAGCAAGTGTCATCATGTAAGTGAGGGCAGAGGGTGAAAAGACCAAAATCTCAGGCAAAACTCTTCTAGAAAAGCCTTATTCCCAAATGGTCAACTCTTATAGTTTGCTACCTCAGTATTGTGGACATTAACATCCACAGAAAAATTTTGAAGGGACACATTCCAAAAAGAAATGTCATAGAAATAAAGATTAGCACTTTTAGCTTCTAATTATACAGATTTTGAGCATTATTAATATCCAAATTTTGAATAAATGACAATACTTATTGCTTTTAAGTAATATTATTGCTTTTAAGTAATTAGTTTGCTTTTGTTAACAGAAACATGAAGTATTTCTCATACTGATTCTTGCACAATTTCAAAAGACATTCCTGCGTCTTCTAACTTAACCATAAGAATGTCATGATGCAGTCATGATTAGCACCGCTCCTTTCTTCTCTTGTGGATACAGACTCATGGTTATGATAATTAAAAAGAATATTAAGAAATATATAGAAGAGTTTTATCTATTTATTCTACTTCTTTTAACATTTAATAGTAGATTACTTGAAAGTACAAAGGTTAAAAATTATAATGTGTTTTCAAATAACATTAACATAAATTTCGGATGATCACTTTATGAAATTTATGCCTATTTCAACACATAGAGTGCTTTCACGGGCTCTGTACCAAGATTTGAGTCAGACACACAGTATGATGACTTGCTTCTTAGATGACATTTATTGAAAGGCAACTGACGAATAATTGCTATATTATTTTTAAAATAACTGCATGGAACCTGAGTCTGTCAAATTTTAAAATAGCACTGTAAAATTTCAGTTTTAATATTTGTTTAAAAGTGGATTACCTAAACTGGTGTATATGAGCTAAGTACAATGCTTACCTAATGTTAGTAAAAAGAATAAAAAATATTGTATTTTTAAGAACATATGAAATTTCTATGACAGGAATTATTACAGAAACCTGTTCAATCTATTCTAAATTTTAAATAATTTTATTTTTGTCTATCAACTTTCACTTGGAGGTGAAAATGCCCCTCACCAGCTTTCCTAGGGCCCCCTTCACATCCTTGTTCCTCAGGGTGTAGATGAAGGGGTTGAGGGTAGGAGTCACCACCCCGTAGAAGAGCGCCATGAACTTGGGCTGGTCCCTGGAGATGGAGGAGGGGGGCTGAAGGTACATGCTGATGGCTGGACCATAAAATAAGAAAACCACAAGAAGGTGAGAGGAACATGTCCCAAAGGCCTTTTTTCTTCCCTCAGAAGATTTCATCGTAATTATAGTGTGCCCAATTCTAGCATAGGAAGAAAGAATTAAACATAGAGGGAGAGCTAACATAAAGATGCATACCACAGAGAGTGCAAGCTCGTTAGCCTCCTTTTCACCACAGGCAGTCTTAATCAGAACTGGAATTTCACACAACAAGTGATCTAATTTATTGATTCCACAGAGTGGCAACTGTAATGTAAGTGTAGCCTCTGAGAAAGCGTATGCCATTCCACCCAACCACACAGTGGATACCAGTAGGAGACAGAGGCGTTGATTCATGATGAGGGTGTAGTGCAGAGGCCTGCAGATGGCCACATAGCGGTCAAAGGACATAAGGGCCAAGAGCAGACACTCAGTACCCCCCATTATGCTAAAGACATAAAGCTGAACTACACACCCAATGTAACTGATGATTTTAGAGTGGCCCAAGTTAAAGAGCATCTGAGGGACAATGCTTGTGGTGTAACACATGTCCAGAAAGGACAGGTTGGTGAGGAAGAAGTACATGGGGGTGTGGAGACGGTGGTCTAACTTCGACACCAGGATGATGGCGATGTTTCCCATCATGGCCATGGGGTATGTGATCAGAAGAATAATGAACAGGGGCAGCTCCAGCCAAGGTCGGTCAGCAAAGCCCAGTAGAATGAACTCCTCAGGGTGGCTTTCATTAATTACTGCCATTTCTTCAACTTGTGTAATATATAGTAGGATGACAGCAACACAATTCAAGTTATGATGACTGAGGATCTATAATAATTCATTGGATATGCAATAATAGGTAATGTCTATAATTCATGGGAAAAATATGAATAATCAGAAATTAGGTAACTCCTCTTTTCTTCATGATACCCTAAATTAAAGACACTAACTTTCAACAAGTAAGGTAAACATTTTGAAACTACGTCTTCTCCTATTTATCCTAAAGTCTAACCATAATATTCTTCCTTCGTTCTAACAAAGATCAAGTAGAAAGAAGACTGTAGAAACTCCAGCCTTGTGGTTTTCAAATGTTGTCTTCAATAAAATGAACGGAGCAGTCGGTTCAAATGAGTTAATTTTATTTTTTATCTCCAGTAGTGTAGCAAGGTGTAAATGATGTGGGGCTGAGGTGCTACCCCACATTTCAGAAGCACCTTAGTTGGGCATCGCTGAAACATTAATGAAAGATAAAGTTTAGAGGTAGCAGTAGAAGAAAAAGGAAGAGGTAGCTTGGATCTATAAGAGTAATAAAGATATCCGGTCTGATACAAGCAGTAAGTGGAGTAATTACATCAGCTCCTTGGATCATAAGACGTCTGTGCTAGGTAGCAGGCTAAGGCCTACTAGCTCTTCAGAATTACACAGGAAATCTACTCACTGTTGCTGTTGTCACTGTTGAGACATTTCTCACGGTTTCCCAGACCCGTCTGCAGGTCATGGGCTCAAGGGACTCTCCTACCTCTGTCTCATCTATGAGGTGAGATGTACAGGAAAAGGTCACCACACCTTGGTTAAATGTTTTTAATACTAGTTTCTTCAAGTATGCATTGAGAGAGGTGAACAGTAAAGACATATTTTGTCCTGTGCTCAAAAAATTTATTTTTGTATAATTTTTCCTAAGTAACTTCTTAGGTCACATTTTGGGCACTCCATATTTCATTGTTAAATTTTACCTAATTTATCCATTTTGTAGGAATTTTTGTTATTCAGTGAGCTTATCCTCCTGCTTTCATATGAGTTTAGACAGTCGGTAGTGATTAACTGATTATACACAGCTACAAATATATTTTTGAGCACCAGGTAACTGCTATCAGGAGAAAAGCCAATATCTTACTTCAAGTCTAGAGACACATTCAAATTGTTTTATATTTTCCACAAGATTATACATATATGTATATATATATGAAATACATATGTTATATATTTAAAATGACAAAACAACTTAAATGAAAAAGCCACTAGCTAAGTAAAGTAGCATTTTAAGAAAGATAAATTAGAGAAGAAAAGTTTTAGTTTATATAGCACTTTCTCTTTTGAAATGTGTTACATAAAAGCCACAATCTTCTGTGTGGTGGACTATGTTAAAACGGGAAGTTCAGATAGCAGCCGAGTTACAAAATTCTGAGACTCTTTGTGTTCAAGAGTAAGGGTAGAAACTGCATTACATTCTTATGATTAAAAAGCACAGTTGTGATATTTTCTGTCATTAAATCCTCCAAGCCAAATAGTGAGGAGTCACAGAAAGCATTTCAGAGCTAAAATGTGAATGTTGCCCTTTGTGTTTTCATAGTCAAGAAGTGTGTAATCACTGTAACAAAATAATCTCAAGTAAAATTTCCTGAGCTCTGTTCACCACACCTCCAATAAGATTTTTATCTTAATTGAATCACTTAATGTCCTCCCTAAAATTTATGTCATAGGAATGTTTGGCGTCCACATTTTAAAATGTTGTTAATCATTCATTTCTGTGGCCTGCTAACAACTGGAGAGGTTCTAAACTTCAAAAAGCTATCTGTGCCACAAACAGGACAGTTATTGAGACTCTGAGATCGGTACGAAGACTCTACAGTACGCTTCTGGAGTCCAAGATGCTGCCTGAGGGAGTGTGTCTTCTACAGCTGACCTCAGCTTGATATCACTTGAGGTACCAGGTGAACATAGAGAATTTATGAAGGCCTTTGTCCCATCTTTATTTTTCATGTGAAAATTGTGTGCTGCAGATGGGATATTTAATAAGGAGTGTATGAATCATGTTCTTAAAATAATTATGATTAGTTGTTATACTTTTAAAATAAATATTCTAAAAAAGGCAATCTACTCACAGTATTAAATATATTATATTGCACTAAAGGATATCTCTTGTGTACTTAACATTATATTTATGTTTGATATTTTTCTACTATGGGATCACCATAAATTTTTAAAATAATAGTGTTATATTTGATCGTCCATGAATACTTAAATATTTATTATATCACCTGAATAATGTATAGATTACATTATTATATCTATCTCTAGTGACAATACTCATCCTACTATGTTTTCTGTAGTTTTTCAAACTTGGTCTCAACTGGCATTTTCTTCATATTATTAACCTCTGTAAAGTCAATTTTCTTTGTGAATTTAAATCATCCCTTTCAAAACATAAAATCACCTCAACTTTATAGATAGAACTGCTCTTGTTTGTGATCCACGACTCAGGGAGGCCTCCAGTCCACAGAGCAGCACAAACGCTCACTGAGTAGTGGAGGAGCCATGGGCCTTGCAAGCGGGGAACAAGGGAAGAGAGCAGCAGGAAAGTGACCGGGTACTGTCAGGTCCTTTCTCTGCTGTTTAGAAAAGGTCAAACCAGAGGACTGCTTCCTTGTGCTGACCCAGGTCCTGCTTTCAGGAATCCTGGTCTGTGCTTTGACCTACTTGCCCCATCCAAGCTCCAGCTGGACTGCGGAGCACTTAGCATGAGTACCTCTGGCTGGGCTGTTGGAGCCTGGTGGAGGAGCTGAGCCAAGAGTCCAGGTATTTACTAGAGATACCCGAGCACATGCACCTCACCCATGTGTTTCACTCTGAAATACATTTAAGAACTCTGAATCTACCCTTAGATATTATATCTTTTCTATGCCATTCTCATGACTTCATTATTTTTACATCTTGAAGTCCATGAATTTTGAATCTTTTACCTCCAATAATTTTTTAAAATCACTCTTACTATACAGGGTTCTCTTCATCTACAAATCTGTAGGATCTCTATAATAAAATGCCAGACTGCATTCCTTTTTACATATCTTAATACATCTTCTGGGAAAACAAAGGGATCCAGGAGAGTATGGCTTGCCAGTTATGGTTAAATGAAGAAAAATACTTTCATCTATAATACACGTATAATCATTTCATAGGTCCCATATTAAAAATGACGCAGGGCCTCCGTTTCTACAAGGAGATGTAAAACATTCCAGTTTGCCATAGCCCAATGATGTGAAGACAAGGTAAACATTCTTTAAAGATCCTCCTGCATTGGGCTAAGATGTGATTTATATCAGAACTTTTCTTTCATAAAATTTTCAGAAGCTTCTACCATGATTAAGAGTCCTGAAGGAACACTAACAATCTGAAAAAAAAAAAAAAAACCCAAGAAAAACATTTTTGAGATATTGGCACTCCAAAATAATCTCAAAGAAAAATGTTGATAAGAACACACATTCTGTAGATTAAATCACCATAGCTCCCTTAAATCCAGAAGTGACATTCTTATACATAAAAAATATATCCAAACTCCACTTGGAGCAGTCATCTAGAAGGCTGTGCCTGATTTCTTTCTTGGAGACATAATTCTCTCTATATCTTTACCTTACAATAAACTCTGCCTGTCCTTCTGTAAGGTCTCCTATGTGTCTTGTTTGGATTCTTTCATTAAGACACAATAACGGAAAAGAGAGAGGGTTGGTTTCTCATGGTATCAGAACCCAGCTTCCCAGTCACACTCTTTCTGCAGTGGATCTTTTCCACCCGTTTTTATCACACATTATTTTCTTTATATTTAGGTTACTTTTTAACTCTCTATATAATAAAATTAATATGTAAAGTAATATGAAAAATTAATGATATTTTTAATTGACACCAAAATATGTGGATGAAATATATGGAGAAGTCAATTCATGAAAATGTTACCAGATCTTTAGAAAGTGCATTTTGTGATATATTCCCTTGATTAAAGGAAGGATTTCTATTTTATTCAGGTGATTAGTAACTGTTAGACATTATATGTACAGAAATTTAGGTTGTGTTGCAGTTGTTCTAAGCAAGTGGCACAGAGAGATTGATTGAAAAGAGAAACCTAATTTTTCACCGAACCACTGAGACAGGTATTTCCAAGGTTTAAAAAGGCCCCCTGAAATGAAATGCTGTATGTCAGGCACTATGACCTGCACATATTCCAGCCTTCCCTGAAAATGTATGGCCCTTAAAAGCAAGCATTTGGTACTCACCTTATTTTGATAAATATAATTTCTCAAAAAAGAGTTTGTAGAAATTCATTATAATTTTTGAAACTCTGTGAGAAACACAGATGAGCATATAAATTCAGTTTCAGAACTCTTCACATTTTTGTTCATACATGGAAAGAGCACAGCTGGGGAAGAGAACAGTAGACAATAGCAGGTTCTGTGGCTGTGGTGTTTGTATGCTATTCCTGAGACCTCAAGAGCATTCTCTTCCCACAGGCTGAGATGGACTTCTCTCCCAGGTGAGTTAGGAGGAAAACTTTCTTGGGACAGGAGTCTTACGGAAATAAACTTGGTGTATAATTTGTTGCCTACTGTGGTATCTTTCCTTGGTAGAGAATCTGTTCTGATTTTAGATGTGTTCTAAAACAAACTTATTTGGACACTAATTTAAACAGTATAGAGTTGTCCCTTGATATTTATGGGAAATTGGACCTAATGAATAGCAAAATGTGTGTATGCTCAAATGTTACACATAAAATAACATATTATCTGCACATAAATCAAACAAATTACCTCATATACTTTAAATCATTTCTAGGTCACTTTCAATATCTAATGTAACGTAAATGTCAAGTAAATATTTTAATACTGTATTGTTTAGGGAGTAATGGCAAAAATATTCTGCACATGTTCAGTACAGACACAACTATCATAGGCCTAACTATATAACACATGACCTACTATCATCTGCCTCTGCAA